TATTCTTAGGTTTTTTCGGAAAAGTCACGTAGGTAAAACATCAAAATTAATAAAAAATAAAATAAAGATCACGACGTTTCGGAGGCAACACAGGAAACGTCGTGATCTTTATTTTATTTTTACTAATTTTTATGTTTTACCTACGTGACTTTACCGAAAAAACCTAAGAATATGAATCCTTGCAGTCACGAAAGCTTCAAATCTAGGGAGAATAGTAGTTTACGGATCAACACGTTCACGCCATTCGGGAGTTTTCATGAGGATTACGTTGGGGACGCGGAAATGAAATGATCATCTGGTCAAGGAAATCAAGAAACCCCCGGTCTGCTTGGTTCTTTCAGTAAAGTCACGTAGAATGGAAATAATAAAATAATAAAAATAAAACCTAATAAAATAAACATACTAAACATAACATAATAAGCAATCAAATTATTTTATTGTGTTTTATTATTTTATTATTTTATCATTTCCATTCTACGTGACTTTACCGAAAGAACCAAGAAGATGAATCCCTGCAGTCACGAAAGATTTAAATCGAAATTCAACGGGGCAATGTTGAGAGATCGGTCTGTCGGAAAAACAGCGTTCTTCACCTGAGGACGGCTGCTTGCGTTGTGGCCGAAACGTCGTGAGAATTGTATCATGTTTTATTTTTATAATTGTATTACTTCCCTTCTACGTGACTTTACCGAAAGAACCAAAAAGATGAATCCCTGCAGTCACGAAAGCTTTAAATCGCAAAAATAAAACCCCCGGTCGTTGAATCGTTAAACCGGCTTCTCCCCGCCAGGAATGTAGGGCTATGATGATGGTCATAATAATAATTTACAACTTCTGAAAACGCCTTTCACCCGGAGGCTCTGTCCAAAATACAAAACAGCAGCCGCTTGAAGCGTCGCTGTTGGCAGGAGGTCACGGGGGGACCAGGTGCCATGGGCTTAGGGGTCATTGCCAGGGAACAGCAGACGCTGGTTTTGAGTTAAAGAGTTTGGGGTCGTAATTAAGAGTGGCCCATGTCACAGTGATTCTAGATTTGAAGCTTTCGTGACTGCAAGGATTCATATTCTTAGGTTTTTTCGGTAAAGTCACCGTGTAGGTAAAAGATTAAAATTAATAAAAGTAAAATAAAATTAACTAAAAATCACGACGTTTCGGAGGCAACACAAGCTTCCGTCTTCAGGTGGAACCGTCACAGCCCGACAGCTGTATCAAGTAAATGAGAGATTGCAGGAGATACAACCATTATATATACGGAGTGGTATCTGCTGTGATCTTTCATTCACTTGATACAGCTGTCGTGGCTGTGACGGTTCCACCTGAAGACGGAAGCTTGTGTTGCCTCCGAAACGTCGTGATTTTTATTTTATTTAACTTTTATTAATTTTAATGTTTTACCTACACGGTGACTTTACCGAAAAAACCTGAGAACATGTCACAGTGGTTTGACCCGACCTGTTGCTATTCAGAGTATGCGTCAGTCCTTGACTTACGATCACAATTCGTTCACGGTTCGTAAGTTTTTAAATGCCGATTTAAAGCTTTCGTGACTGCAGGGATTCATCTTCTTGGTTCTTTCGGCAAAGTCACGTAGAAGGGAAATAATAAAATAATAAAAATAAAACATAATAAAAGACATTCAGACGCTGTCTTTCCGACAGACATGTTCATTCAGACGTTGTCTTTCCGACAGACCTGTTCATTCAGACGCTGTCTTTCTGACAGACCTGTTTATTCAGACGCTGTCTTTCCGACAGACCTGTTCATTCAGACGCTGTCTTTCCGACAGACCTGTTCATTCAGACGCTGTCTTTCCGACAGACCTGTTCATTCAGACGCTGTCTTTCTGACAGACCTGTTTATTCAGACGCTGTCTTTCCGACAGACCTGTTCATTCAGACGCTGTCTTTCCGACAGACCTGTTCATTCAGACGTTGTCTTTCCGACAGACCTGTTCATTCAGACGCTGTCTTTCCGACAGACCTGTTCATTCAGACGCTGTCTTTCCGACAGACCTGTTCATTCAGACGTTGTCTTTCCGACAGACCTGTTCATTCAGACGCTGTCTTTCCGACAGACCTGTTCATTCAGACGCTGTCTTTCCGACAGACCTGTTCATTCAGACGCTGTCTTTCCGACAGACCTGTTCATTCAGACGTTGTCTTTCCGACAGACCTGTTCATTCAGACGCTGTCTTTCCGACAGACCTGTTCATTCAGACGCTGTCTTTCTGACAGACCTGTTCATTCAGACGCTGTCTTTCCAACAGACCTGTTCATTCAGACGCTGTCTTTCCGACAGACCTGTTCTTCACCTGAGAACGGCTGCTTGCGTTGTGGCCGAAACGTCGTGAGAATTGTATTTTATTATGTTTGGTTTTTATTATTTCCCTTCTACGTGACTTTACCGACAGAACCAAGAAGATATTTAAATGCCCACAAACACACACACACAGACAGACGCTGGCTCGCTCGCTCGCTGGCAGCACGAGGCTGACTCATTTACAACTCTCAGAGGATCGCTCCGCCGGAAAACAAATAGTGCCGCGATTCGATTTGCCGGTGAGAGTTTCGCGTTTTAAATCAATGTGAAAAAAATTATAATGCAAGCTGGTTTTTCAGTGGGGTGTTCGTAAGTTGGACGTTTGTAAGTGCAGGTGTTTGTAAATCGGGTGTTCGTAAGTGCGGGCGTTTGTGAGTGAGATGTTCGCCTTTGATCTTCGCCCCTGACGGGTTCACAGCGATGATCGTGATGATCACGTCACTTTGCTCGATTCAACACTGGAAGCAGGAAGGCTTCTTCAACTTCTCACCGCCGCTGATAATTGTTGTTGTAATCGCCGGTGAAACCTCGCGGCAGTGACTCGAATTGTAAATGTCGTTGTTGGGTTTACTCTCCAACCCAAACATCAACCGGTTTCATGCTGAACTTAGTTAATTAATTGGCCGTGTTTTCTTTATGCGACAAGCGTTACCACTTAGCCGTGTTGGGTGCTGGCGTTGGTGTCTCCGGGTTTAACGACACAATATTCATATTTTCACGTGATCTAGCCCCAGGTGCCATGGGCTTTTAGGGGTCGTTGTCAGGGAACAGCGGACGGTGGTTTTAGTGAAGAAGTCACGTGCGGATGATAGCGGTTGGGTTAAAGAGTCTGGGGTCGTAATTAAGAGTGGGCCATGGCACAGTGGTTTGACCCGACCTGTTGTTATTCACAATAGCCACCGTCCTTGACTTACGATCACAATTCGTTCACGGTTCGTAAGTTTTTAAATGCCGATTTAAAGCTTTGGTGACTGCAGGGATTCATCTTCTTGGTTCTTTCGGTAAAGTCACGTAGAAGGGAAATAATAAAATAATATAAATAAAGCTTAATAAAAGACATTCAGAAGCCCTACAATTGCTACTACATTGGTGGGCCATAAGTAACGGCCTGCTTCGAAATTGCGGTATTTTGTGTGAAAATTATTTTGTTTAAAAAAAACAAAATTTGCATTAATAATAAAGTAGAAGCCTGGGGACTTCATGATGGACCGGTCATACACCTCGGCAGCAAGCAGGAATAGTTGGAAATACATTTCGGAGGCAACCGTTCGACAATTTGGACACGAGAGAGACTATCCTGGATATTTTAAGACCCCAACGGCTCCCAGCTCCGCACCGTATTTGGGCGTCGATTTCTCGTTACGACATCCGGGAATCGGCAACGATGGGGGGTTGAATGCGAAACGCCGCGTTGGCAGACCCCGAACCGGTTGATCTCCGACTTCTTCTTGAGCAAGTGAAGGGAGACCACCGATGAGACGCCCCGAAACTTCGACGGGGAGACGCTCCGACGTTCAATTGGGGATCGCACGATGGTCTTGGGTCAGAGGTCGCAAATGGGTTTTGATTCCTTACCCGTACCCGTACCCGGCGGCACCAGGGTCGCAAACGGGTACCCGTACCCGGCCGGGTACGGGTACCCGTACGCTACCCGTACCCTACCCGAAATGAGTGACAAACGGTTACTCACCGGTGACTCACGGCCTACCCGTACCCGTACCCGGCCGCACCAGGGTCGCAAACTGTTACCCGTACCAGTACCCAGGCCGGGTACGGGTAGCCAGGTATCGGGTAGGGTACGGGTATCGGGTACCCAGTTGCGACCTCTGTCTTGGGTACAAGGACTCGCGTCTTGTTCCACGCAAGATTGCAGCTGGTGCGAGAATTGCAGCACAGAGACCATCAAAGCCGCCTGGAGCGCTCGCTTGCTTGCACTGAACGTGCAGACTAAGACGACGCTTTCGTTACAAACTGAATGATGTCGGACGAAGCTGATTTTCGCCTCGACGGCTTCATCAACAACTAAAATTTGCAGGTTCCGGGGTTCGTGCAGAATGACATCGCGTCTCCATGAATTCTTTTCTATCAATTAGAGTTTGTGTTTTTATTTCACTTTGGCCAAAGCAATTGAGGCGATTGCTTCTTATGGCCCAACCTGCACTACTGCTGCTGCTGCTGCTTGTTAAACCTGTTTGCCGTGGGCTTTCCCTGCCGCCCTCCCCCCGTGTGCGACCGTAGTTGCTGCAGGGCCGAGGTGGTGGCAGCGCATCTCGGAAGAGTGGGCAGTTGGGCCGCCCGCACTTTCCCCCCGCTGCCATGGAAGCCGCCAACAGGTACAGCGCATGCGCCAGTTAAGAGCGTCACGCGTCATAACGGTGCGGCGGGCTCCCGTCGGGTGAAACCGCCGAAGGGCGGAGAGCGTTCGGGGACGAATTGCCATTAGTTCTGGAAGTTCAGCGAAGGACGAAAAATAATACGCGACAATCGCTTCAAACAGCAATTAAACATTTACGGCGGGAGGGGGGAACCGATACCACGAGCGCACGTCACGTCGCGAAATGTGATCCTTGCGCATCCCTGAGATGAAATTCATCCCCGTGTGCAATGCAAGCAGCTTCTGCGAAACGCCTCCCCTGTAACACCACCACCGCCACCATCGCCGCCACGGTACCACAAACACGATGACGACGACGACGGAGATGATCGCAGCGGCGCGGGCGATGTTGGTGTCGCAGCACGCCTCCAACGCGGCGACCCGAACGAGCCCCCAACATGTCGCCGGGCGGCTGACGAGCGGCGAGCCGGAGGACAGCGGGAGCGGGGACGAGCTGGGCTACATGAGCAGCGTGCGGGCCGCCCAGTCGCGCGTACTCCGGGCCACGTCGCTCACCCGGCGGGAGTTGTGCGGGCCGGTGGCCTGGCGTAGCCGTGGCGGCGGGGCCGACCGGACCGCGGGCGGAGGAGGCGACGACGACGACGACGAAAGCGGTGGCGACGCCGATTATTTTCGACCAGGAACTCAGCTGCCGCCGGACTGGGAGAGCGAACGGACGTGGCTCGGAGGAGCCGGCCAGGGGGACGAGACGCCGGGGACACGGCAGACGGATCGGCAGCCCGACGGTGACCGCCCGGACGGGGGGCTGGGCGCCAGGCCCGTGGCCGGTCTCGCCGCGCCGCTGTGGCTACGGCCGAGGGCGGCCACCAGGGCTGACCCCACCATGAGGCGGGACCCGGAGCGGGCCGGCGGCAGTCGCCGTGGCGGTGGCGGCATCGGCGGCGGCGGCGGCGGCATCGGCGACCGTTCGACGCTGGGGTCGGGCGCCCACGCGCCCAACGGCCGGGCATTCTCGGCATCGTGCGAGACGCTGGGCTCCATCTCCGGCTCGTCGTCGTCATCGTCGTCTTCAACGTCCGCATCCACGACGCAGCAGCAGCAGCAGCCAGCGCCGGCTGATGGCAAGAAGAGCTGGCTGGCAGCGCTGCGGCAGACGCCGCTCATGACGTCGCTGCTCAAGCACCGGCTCGGACGCACCAAGTCGGGCCGCGGAGAGGAGGTTCGAACCCCCCCCCCGCCACTCTCCCCCCCCCTCACCTGTCCCTAGGGGTAACGGCGAATTGGGGGCGACTGCCCCCCCAAGGTGGTGTCAGATGTAACGCTTCCGGTTTATGATAATTGTTTTTTTACCCTTCAATCTGGCAACAAAACTGACACCTTTTTTACGAGGAGTCATGTTTGCATAGACCACAATGCCTGCGGTCATAATGCAAACAAAAAACACAACTCTGATAATGTATGCACTGGACTTAAAGTTGACTGGTCCACACCCAAGACAGCTTTCCTCAGAGCCTAGTCTCACATGGTGTTGGACCAAATGACGCCAAAAAGACGCACAACTCAAAGACAATGCACAATCAGAGTATGAGAGCTCGGGGTAAGCAAAAAAAAAAGGTGTCAGTTTTGTTGCCAGAGAAAAGGGTAAAAAACCAATTATCACATTTTTACTGGCAAATGAGGTTCCAATGGTGCTTCCGGTTTAGTTTGATTGCGGTGTTGGTCACGGGGTGTCGGGGGAAGGCCTTCATCCTGGCAGCGAATCGACTGCGGCTATTCTTGCCACCGCCGTTCCGCAATTTGAGTTCTCGCTTCTCGCGCAGGTGGCCGGCGGTGGAAAGCTTCCCCCGGGGCGCTCCCACGACTCGGTCGCCACCTCCGCCGCCGCTGCCGCCGGCGGGGGCTCCCGCAAAGGCCCGGCCTCGTCGCCCCCGACGGGCCAACCCGGAGCGCCGCGCGGCCCCTCGCACTACACCTCGCTGCCCAGCCTGGACGCCCCCGCCGGAGCCGCCGGAGCCGCCGGGAAGGCCGGCAGCCTCTCGCGGGCCTCGGGAGGTGGCGCCGCTGCCGCCGCCACTGCCGCAACCTCGTCCTCGGCCACGCTGGCCACGCCGGGGGAGAGGCCGCAGAAGGGACGCGCCCACCACTGGTCACTGCCGAGCCTCTTCAAGATGGCGTCGCGGAAGCCGTCAGCGTCGGAGGAGGCGAGAGAACGGTCGGTGACCGCTGCAGACGCTCGTGGGCGCCGCTCGTTGTGTCGCTCTCTCTCGCTCTCTCTCTCGTTCTCTCTCTCTCTCTCTCTCTCGCTCTCACTCTTACTCTCTCTCACTCTCGCTCTCACCCGCTCTCTCTGGGGTTGAGTGTGAGGCCATGTTGCAGGCGTGGGTGGGTTGATTCTAGGAACTTGAATTATGAGAAGAGACAAGACGTTGGGAAATGAGTGACAAACGGTGACTCACCAGTGACTCACAGCCTACCCGTACCCGGCCGCACCAGGGTCGCAAACGGCTACCCGTACCCGGCCGGGCACGGGTAGCCGGGTATCGGGTAGGGTACGGGTATCGGGTACCCGGTTGCGACCTCTGATCCCCGCTCTGTGTCTCCCTGCAGCTCCGCCAAGCAGCAGGACGACCGCAGGGAGGGCGGCGGCCCTTCCCATCACGCCTCGTTGCCCCGGCTCGACTGGCCGGGCCCGGCCGGCTCCCACGGGGGCCACTCGCCTGTCGCTCTCCCCGTCTCTGTCCGACCACGAGGCGCGGAAAGTGGCGCTGATGCCCGGCGGGAGATATCTGTGCGTGCCGTCGATGATGTCCGTCGGTCCGGGTCCGGCCAAGGCCTTGAGCAGGTGCGGCGAGGCGGCCCCCCCCCCTCCCCCCTTGTTGTTGTGCAGAGGTTTCTGGGAAGCTCAATGGGGTGGTGGGGGTGGTGGTTGTTGTTGTTGTGGTGGTGGTTGTGGTGGTGGTGGTGATACGACAGACCTGGGCCTGTCCCGAGACCTCCTGTCAGCGAGCCATCGACACTTCACGTGGTAGCCTCAAAGTGCACCTGGCCTGGCACAGACACCGTGGTGACGTCACTTAGTGGCGAATGGCGCGGGTTTTGGTGTTGGTGGTAATGCTCGCCCTCACCGTCAGCCCCACCCACTGCTCGGGTAGCTCCGCCCACTACACAGGTAGCTCCACCCACTACTCAGGTAGCTCCACCCACTACCTGGTTAGCTCCGCCCACTACACGGGTAGCTCCGCCCACTACACGGGTAGCTCTGCCCACTACACGGGTAGCTCCGCCCACTACTCGGGTAGCTCCGCCCACTACACGGGTAGCTCCGCCCACTACTCGGGTAGCCCCGCCCACGAGGCCAGAACATTTAAAATGGAGATTCTCGCTAAAACTTTGGGGACGGGGAGACACGGGGACACGGAGAGTCACTTTGCAGTCATGGATTCTTGAATGCATCTGTGCGAAGCGTTATGTGTGTGTGGGTGTGTGTATAGAATATACCCTTAACCCTGAGCCTAACTATAACCCAAAACCATAGCTCTTACAATAGCCCTTCTCTCTAACCCGAAATCCTAACCCAAGTCCTTAACCAAACCCTGATGCTAACCCTGTGACCCCCCGTGACCCTTCCCACGTGACCCCCACGTGACCCCCCCACACGCAGGAGCGAGGGGAGCATGATCGACGACTCGGAGGTTGGGGGGGACGACGTGGCGGCGATGGCGGTGGCGGCGGGCGTGGGGGGCGACCGCCGTCACCACCGTCACCACCACCACCACCGTCACCACCACCACCTCCTCCTCCCGGGGAGCCGGCCCCTGTCCGAGGGCCGAGCTCGCTCCGTGGAGGAGCTGCTGGAGAGGCGGCCACGAGCCGCGCGCCAGCGCGGTGACGGCAGCGGCGTCTGGAGCCGCCGGGAGCGGGGGGTGAGCGAACGCCGATGGCGATGGTGACGATGGTGACGATGGTGACGATGGTGACGATGGTGACGATGGTGGCGATGGTGGCGATGGTGACGATGGTGACGATGGTGACGATGGTGATGATGGTGACGATGATGACGATGATGACGATGGTCACGATGATGATGATGGTGGCGATGGTGACGATGACGATGGTGACGACGATGACGATGGTGACGATGACGATTCACGACCGCTACACCGCGGAAAGCTACGACCGCTTGAACGTCCTTCCGCTCCTGCTGTGCTCGGTTCTCCATCATCACCATCAGCTACGTGTCATCATCTCCTGTCGGAATCATCATTATTCTCATGATACGACTACCACTTGTTAACCCCCATTCATTAATTCCATTCATCATCGTCACAGATTCGCACCCGCTGCTTCCTCTCGTCTATTTCATTCAGCTCATCTTCATCACAAAGACAAAGATCCCCCGTGTAGCCTTAACAGACTGTAGCGGCAAGTGCTGTTAGCGAGTAGCACCTATGAAGGCCGGCATGGCACACGAGGGGGTGGGTGGCCAACACCACGCCCGGTCGCCTTTGTCTCCCCAGTGGCGATGTTTACGACACACCTCACCAGGTACTCATTTGAGGCTGAGTCGACCTAGGGGAGGCTCAGGACCGGTTCAGATAATCGTCACTGGTGTTGGCCATGAGCGGGAATCGAACCCGGGTCGCCGGGTTCGTAGCGCCGCGTAGCGCTAACCACTGCACCACCGCTCCTCACACATACAGACAGACACACACAAACACACACACAGACACACACAAACACACGCACAAACACACGCACAAACACACACACAGACATGCACACGCACAAACACACACACAGACACACACACACAAACACACACACAGACACACACAAACACACGCACAAACACACACACAGACATGCACACGCACAAACACACACACAGACACACACAGACACACACGCACACACAAACACACACACAGACACACGCACACACACAGACACACACACAGACACACACGCACAAACACACACACAGACACACACACAGACACATGTGCGCGCGTTGTTGCCCTGTTCTTAATTCTGCGTAAAGCGCCTTGATTAAGGCGCTTTGTAAATTCCCTTCTGGTCATCTTCATCCGCGGTCGGTTTCTGTCGGGTTGGGTGATTGTGTGAACGTCACTGTTGTGTCGTGGACTCCCTCCTCCACCCGACAGCGGCCGATCAAAAGCCGCTATGTCGTAGCTCTCTTCCATACGTGACCTGGCGCTCGCAAATAATAGCTCGCACGAAGTGGCTCACCATCATCATCATCAACACGTGGAAACATACAGCCGTGGTGATGCTAAAATGTGGAGGGGAAAGACCGCAAGAGCCGGAGAAAAATCCACGCGACCACGGAGAGAGAGAGAGAGACGCGGCAAACTCCAAATATACAGCAGCAGCAGGCGTCAGAGTCGGGATCGAACCCACGACCTCCTGTATACCAGGCGAGGTAGTCAACATCTCCTAGCCACCGTGATGATGATGAGAGAGAGAAACACAGACTCCAAATATACAGCAGGCGTCAGGGGGTCTGGATCGAACCCACGACCTCCTGTATACCAGGCGAGGTAGTCAACATCTCCTAGCCACCGTGATGATGATGAGAGAGAGAAACACAGACTCCAAATATACAGCAGGCGTCAGGGGGTCTGGATCGAACCCACGACCTCCTGTATCCCAGGCGAGGTAGTCAGCATCTCCCTAGCAACCGTGGTCACGTGAATAGAACGTGGCCCAATGCGATGACAAACAAGTGAGAAGCTTTACCCGTTCCCAGGAGTTTTCCGTGATTTTTGCCGGAAGGAGGGATGGGGGGGTAAAGCCTTTACGGCTTTCAAAATCTCCATAGTACCAGCAACAAAAAAAAGAGTCCCATAGGTATGTCTGCTTAACCCCGAGCATGTTAATACTTTTGTTAGATTTTACCCCTTTCTGGCAAGAAAACAGGAGTTGTGTTGATATGTCCACACAGCAAATAGACACAGCCTGTTTCAAGGCATCAAATTACTGCATTAAACACACACAGACGGTCCTTGTTCAAAACGTTCAAACAAACATGCACCGATAAGCATACACGCATTGTCATTGAAACTGATTGGCCCAGCAGCCAGAGGTCGCAACCGGGTACCCGATACCCGTACTCTACCCGATACCCAGCTACCCGTACCCGGCCGGGTACGGGTAGCTGTTTGCGACCCTGGTGCAGCCGGGTACGGGTACGGGTAGGCCGTGAGTCACTGGTGAGTCACCGTTTGTCACTCATTTCAGGTAGGGTACGGGTACGGAACGGGTACCTGTACCCGGCCGGGTACGGATACCGGTACCCATTTGCGACCCTAGTGTGGCCGGGTACGGGTACAGGTAGGCCGTGAGTCACTGTTGAGTAACCGTTTGTCACTCATTTCGGGTAGGGTACGGGTAGGGTACGGGTACCTGTACCCGGCCGGGTACGGGTACGGGTAAGGAATCACAACCCGTTTGCGACCTCTGGGTCTCGGGAACATCGGTGGGCCACATATCACCCCCTACTGACGTATGTCCGCTAGTGCAGGTAAGTGCACCGTGTGTTCATGGCGTTGCATATGCATTTCCTATAAACAGGTCCCTGCGTGGTCGGCTGGTAGGAACGAACAAATACGATACGAAGGGAGAGTTTGAGGCCTAGTTCTAGGCTTTAGGCCTAGCTGTAGGCTTTAGGCCGCTGTGAGTTAATTTTTAATTTAAATGTTTTAATTAAAAACTATCTCAGGGAATTATAAGGGAATGTTACACTTGTTTAGCCAGGAAAGCCTCACTGAGTCTAAAGGTTTTTGTAGGGTCCTGCCAAGTGTTTGCAATAGGGGGCGATGTTGCTACACCTAATCGGACATCGGACGGACGGACGGACGATATAATCTATTGTAGGCTGGTTCACTTCGTTCCTATCAGTATAATAATGTAACCATAGTGTTGTATGCTGCATTGTCTTTGAGACTGATTGGTCTACACCAGAGGCAGCATGTCAGACACGAGTGCTGAGGCGTGTGTGGTTAGTGCAGTAACGGGAGTCATTGCAAAGGGCTTCCAGTCGGCGTTTGAATATCTTATTGCCAGAAAGGGTTACAGCCCCATTCTACTTTTCGATGTAAAGCTTTCGTGACTGCAGGGATTCATCTTCTTGGTTCTTTCGGTAAAGTCACGTAGAAGGGAAGTAATAAAATAATAAAAATAAAACATTATAAAATACAATTCTCACGACGTTTCGGCTACAACGCAAGCAGCCGTCCTCAGGTGAAGAACAGGTCTGTCGGAAAGACAGCGTGGCCGAAACCTCGTGAGAATTGTATTTTATTATGTTTTATTTGTATTATTTCATTATTTCCCTTCAACATGACTTTACCGAAAGAACCAAGAAGACATTCTACTTTAGTTTCACCAAAAACCCCGTTAACGCGACACTTCTATTTCCTTTGTTTTTTAAACGATCAGAGAACCAAAGTGAGCGGGGGGGGGGGGGGTGGTGCAAGACCGGGCTGCCGTCGATGACGCTGTGCTCGCTCGCATTGCCCCTCGCAGGAAGCGGAGGCCGGGCCAGGCCCGTCGGAGGGCCGCGACATCGTCCCAGCGGCCGCCCTGTCGGGCCACTGCCCGCCGGGAAAGACGCCCTCCGTGGACAGTGTGGACGACGACGTCTTCGTGGAGGAGCCGTCCGGCGGCAGCGATGCGGGAACTTCAGGAACGCTGCGGGTTTGCGGGACGACGGAAGCGCCAGGAATTCTGGGAAAGCCGGGAACTCTGGGAGGGTCTTCGAGCTGGCCGGGAACGCTGGACGTGCCGGGGGCTGGCAGGACGAACGAAGCGCCGGGAATTCTGGGAATTCTGGGAGGGTCTTCGAGCGGGCCGGCAACGGCAGAAGCGCCGGGAATTCTGGGAGGCTCTTCGAGCGTGCCGGGAACGACAGAAGCGCTGGGAATTCTGGGAGGCTCTTCGAGCGGGCCAGCAACGACAGAAGCGCCGGGAATTCTGGGAGGGTCTCCGAGCGGGCCGGGAACCGCAGAAGCGCCGGGAATTCTGGGAGGGTCTCCGAGCGGGCTGGGAACCGCAGAAGCGCCGGGAATTCTGGGAAAGCCGGGAACTTCCGGAAAGAGCGACGACGACGACGACGACGACGACGATGACGACAGCGACGACGGTGACCCGTCCGCCGTGGCCACGGACGCCAACTCGTTCATCCTGAGCGCCGCGTCCTTCGCCGGCCACGGCGGCGACTACTACCGGAGGGGGGCGGCCCCCGGGGGCTACCGGGGGCCCCGGGTGGGCAGCGGCCTGGAGCTACTGGAGGAGGCCTACCCCCTGATCGTCGGGGGCTGGTTCCGGCGCGGGAGCCTCCGGGCGGGACCCGGGCACGAGCTCGCGGACGGGGAGGCCGCAGACGGACCGCCGGAGGTGCAGCGGCAGCAGGAGGAGGAGCGGCAGCAGGAGGAGGAGCGGGAGGAGGAGCGGGAGGATGAGGAGGAGCTGGTGAGCGTTTTGAAAAGCGTCGGGGGTGTTCTTTTTCGTCTTGATTTGAAGCTTTCGTGACGACGACCGCTTGTGTTGCGATCGAAACGTCGTGGTTTGTTTCATTTGATTCGATTTCTAACCTAAGTGACTTTACCGACAGAACCGAAGAGCATACGTGTAGTTCGCCTTCAACAGACAGGGAGGCCATTTATTATTCCCCTGTCGATTTTTGTTCTTGACAGGGAGCTACGGCAGAGGTCGCAACCTGATACCCGTACCCGTACCCTACCCGATACCCGTACCCGATACCCGTACCCTACCCGATACCCGTACCCTACCCAATACCCAGCTACCCGTACCCGTTTGCGACCCTGGTGCGGCCGGGTATGGGTACGGGTAGGCCGTGAGTCACTGGTGAGTCACCGTTTGTCACTCATTTCCCAACGTCTTGTCTCTTCTCACAATTCAAGTGCCTAGAATCAACCCACCCGCGCCTGCAACATGGCTTCATCGCAGAGGTCGCAAACGGGTACCCGTACCCTACCCGATACCCAGCTGGGTACGGGTAGAGTACGGGTACCCATTTGCGACCCTGGTGCGGCCGGGTACGGGAAAGGAATCAAAACCCGTTTGCGACCTCTGATCTACGGGGTGCGGGTTGCGGAGAGCTGCTTCTCGTTCTCTGCTTCTTTCGGTGAAGTCCCGGCGTTTCAGGTCGCAACACAAGCGTCCATCTTCAGGTGAGGTGAAGACGGATGCTCGTGTTGCGATCGAAACGTCGTCTTCTCTTTTTGGTTATTTCGGTAAAGTCACGTAGAAGGAGAATAATAAAATAATACAAATAAAACACAATAAAATAATTCTCACGACGTTTCGGCCACAACGCAAGCAGCCGTCCTCAGGTGGAGAACAGGTCTGTCGAGAAGACAGAGTCTGACAGACCTATGGGTAATGTTATTCTATGGGTAGTGTTAGTCTATGGGTAATGTTATTCTATGGGTAATGTTAGTCTATGGGTAATGTTAGTCCATGGGTAATGTTAGTCTATGGGTAATGTCAGTCTATGGGTAATGTTAGTCTCTGGGTAATGTTAGTCTATGGGCAATGTTAGTCTATGCGTAATGTTAGTCTATGGGCAGTGTTAGTCTATGGGTAATGTTAGTCTATGGGTAATGTTAGTCTATGGGTAATGTTAGTCGATGGGTAATGTTTGTCTCTGGGCAATGTTAGTCGATGGGCAATGTTAGTCCATGGGTAATGTTAGTCTCTGGGCAATGTTAGTCGATGGGCAATGTCGTCCCCAGCGCTCCAGCCTGCACCGCTCCCTCGCTCTGCTCAACGGAGACCTGGAATCAAACTCGGCGGCTTGCGCGCAGATCCGGACCACCCTCTCCACCCTCTCCTCCACCTCCTCCACCTCCTCCACCTTCTCGTCCACCACCTCCACCTCGTCGCCGTCCCAGCGAGCGCTGCGTTCCCGCAGCCCGCGCCGCCTGCTGCAGCGCCTGGAGGCGGTGCTGGACAGCCAGGACGCGATGGGCGGCCTCCTGGGGTGCCTCGGCCGGCAGCACCGGCAGGACGGGGCCGACGTCGCCACGGTACGGAGGAGGCCCACCGCGCGGCCACGACGGCGTCGATTGATGGTGACGACGACGACGATGGTGACGATGATGGTGACGACGACGACGATGGTGACGATGGTGATGGTGACGATGATGACGATGGTGACGATGACGATGGTGACGATGGTGACAATGGTGACGATGATGATGATGGTGATGGTGACGATGGTGACGATGGTGACGACGATGATGACGACGGTGACGATGGTGATGATGACGACGACGACGATGGTGACGACGACGATGATGGTGACGTTGGTGACGACGACGACGATGGTGACGATGGTGACGATGGTGATGATGGTGACGACGATGGTGACGATGACGATGGTGACAATGACGACGATGATGACGATGGTGACAATGACGACGATGACGACGACGACGATGACGATGCCCGCCGACGATAATCCAGCAAACCGGCTACGGCCGCCCCACCCGCCGATCTTGTGGCCCCACGTCGCCGCCCGCCCTCTTGACGCGGGCCTCACCCTCTTGACGTGGGCCTCACCCTCTTGACGTGGGCCTCACCCTCTTGACGCGAGCCTCACCCTCTTGACGTGGGCCTCACCCTCTTGACGTGGGCCTCACCCTCTTGACGTGGGCCTCACCCTCTTGACGTGGACCTCACCCTCTTGACGTGGACCTCACCCTCTTGACGTGGACCTCACCCTCTTGACGTGGACCTCACCCTCTTGACGTGGGACCTCACCCTCTTGACGTGGACCTCACCCTCTTGACGTGGACCTCACCCTCTTGACGTGGACCTCACCCTCTTGACGTGGACCTCACCCTCTTGACGTGGACCCTCACCCTCTTGACGTGGGCCTCACCCTCTTGACGTGGACCTCACCCTCTTGACGTGGACCTCACCCTCTTGACGTGGGCCTCACCCTCTTGACGTGGACCTCACCCTCTTGACGTGGACCTCACCCTCTTGACGTGGGCCTCACCCTCTTGACGTGGGCCTCACCCTCTTGACGTGGGCCTCGCCCTCTTGACGTGGACCTCGCCCTCTTGACGTGGACCTCACCCTCTTGACGTGGGCCTCACCCTCTTGACGTGGACCTCACCCTCTTGACGTGGGCCTCACCCTCTTGACGTGGACCTCACCCTCTTGACGTGGACCTCACCCTCTTGACGTGGGCCTCACCCGCCCTCTTGACGTGGACCTCACCCTCTTGACGTGGGCCTCACCCTCTTGACGTGGACCTCACCCTCTTGACGTGGACCTCACCCTCTTGACGTGGGCCTCACCCTCTTGACGTGGACCTCACCCTCTTGACGTGGACCTCACCCTCTTGACGTGGGCCTCACCCTCTTGACGTGGACCTCACCCTCTTGACGTGGACCTCACCCTCTTGACGTGGGCCTCACCCTCTTGACGTGGACCTCACCCTCTTGACGTGGACCTCACCCTCTTGACGTGGGCCTCACCCGCCCTCTTGACGTGGACCTCACCCTCTTGACGTGGACCTCACCCGCCCACTTGACGTGGACCTCACCCTCTTGACGTGGGCCTCGCTTCGCCTCGCCCGTCTCTCCGCAGGCCGCCGCCGGCGCCGGGAGGCCGCGACCTGCGCCGCCAGGTGACGGAGGCCCTGGCCCTGCTGCCGGGCCTGGCGCGGCGCGCACGACGCTGCGGGGCCGCGGTGGACGGGGCCCTCGGCGGGGGCCCGGGGGGGGAGCGGCCCTCGTGCCGGCTGCTGCTGGCGTCCAGGATGCCGCTGCTGCTGGAGCAGCGCCACCTGGAGCTGGTGGTGCGGGGCCTGGAGCAGCGGCGCAGGCTGGGGCTGGGGTAGCGGGGGGGGGCTGGGGGGGGGGTAGCGGGGGGGGGGGCTGGGGGGGGGGTAGCGGGGGGGGGGGGCTGGGGCTGGGGTAGCGGGGGGGGGGCTGGGGCTGGGGTAGCGGGGGGGGGGGCTGGGGCTGGGGTAGCGGGGGGGGGGCTGGGGGGGGCTGGGGGGGGTCACGGGGGGGACACGGGGGGGGGGGGACACGGGGGGGGGGGGTTGAGGGGAAGGGGGACCGGCTGCTATGGAGACAGAGAGATGCGGAGACAGGGAGATGTGGAGACGTGGGGACAGACAGGGAGACAGGGTGACGTGGAGACGGGGAGACAGACAGGGTGACAGGCAGGGAGACGTGGAGACAGAGATGTGGAGACGTGGAGACGTGGAGACAGAGAGACAGAGAGACAGACAGGGTGACGTGGAGACGGGGAGACAGAGAGACGTGGAGACAGACAGGTAGACAGACCAAGACGGTGGCTGTTGTGACGTTGTAAACGTGCAGGGGACAGCGAGAGCACGGGGTGAGCGTGGGGGGAGCACGGGGGGTGAGCACGGGGGGTGAGCGTGGGGGGGGAGCGTGGGGTGAGCGTGGGGCGGAGCGTGGGGTGAGCACGGGGTGAGCGTGGGGTGAGCGTGGGGGGTGAGCGTGGGGTGTGTGGTGTGTGTGTGTGTGTAGTGAGTGGTGTGTCTGTAGTGTGTGTGTGGTGTGTGTGGTGTGGTGTGTGTGTGTGTGGTGTATAGTGTTTGGTGTGTGTGTAGTGTGTGGTGTATGTGTGGTGTGTGTGTGGTGTGTGTGGTGTGTGTGGTGTATGTGTGGTGTGTGTGTGGTGTGTGTGTGGTGTGTGTGTGTAGTGTGTGTGTGTGTGGTGTACGTGTGGTGTGTGTGTGGTGTGTGTGTGGTGTGTGTGTGGTGTGTGTGTGTAGTGTGTGTGTGTGTGGTGTATGTGTGGTGTGTGTGTAGTGTGTGTGTGGTGTGTGTGTGTGTGTGTGTGTGTGTGTGGTGTGTGTGTGGTGTGTGTGTGTAGTGTGTGTGGTGTGTGTGTTAGCGGCACGGGCGCTACCAAAACGCCGCTTTCGACCCCAGCCGGTCCCTGGGCCTCCCCTAGGTCGACTCGGCCTGGACTGAGTAGCCTTGCGTAGCGGTGGCGTCGTGAAACCTCGCCACATCGTGGGAAGACAAAGGCGGCCGGGCGTGGTGCTGGCCACCCACCCCCTCGTGTGCCACAGTGACGGCCTTCGTAGGTGCTGCTCGCTAACAACACTTGCCACACAAACAACACTTGCCACACCAACAGCACTTGCCACTCAGCGATCTGCAAAAATCTGCACGGCGGAATCTTGGTCTTTGTGTGAGTGGGTGGGTGAGTGAGTGGGTGAGCGTGTGGGTGAGTGGATGGGTGAGTGAGTGAGTAGGTGAGTTAGTGGGTGAGTGAGTGAGTAGGTGAGTGAGTGGGTGAGTGAGTGGGTGCGTGAGTGAGTGAGTGGGCGAAAGAGGAGTGAGTGGGTGAGAAATGGGTGGAGTGGGTGAGCGAGTGGGTGAGCGAGTGGGTGAGTGAGTGAGCGGGTGAGTGTGCGGGTGAGTGGATGGGTAAGTGAGTGAGTGGGCGCGTGAGTGAGTGGGTGAGTGACTGAGCGGATGACTGAGTGAGTGAATGGGTGAGAGAGTAGGTGAGTGAGTGGGTGAGGAGTGGGTGAGTGAGTGAGTGAGCGGGTGAGTGAGCGGGTGAGTGAGTGGGTGAGCGGGCGGGTGAGCGAGTGGGTGAGAGCGTTTGACACGACTCTACAATCCAGACGGATTTTCGCAGATTTCCATGACAATGTAAAAGGAGCTTGCGTGCAAATTGTAATTCGAACGCAAAAACCTCAACAAATAAACGTGATCACTCACCGTCTGTCATCTTTGGAGAATGTTCAACAGCAAGGTCTGTGTGTGGTGGTCCTTCGACTCGTACGACTCGGCTACGTACGGTGCGAACAAAGTTCAACGTGCTGACGATCGCAGAGACTATCACAGAGAGCCACAGACTCACACAGAGACCCACAGACTCACACAGAGACCCACAGACTCACACAGAGACCCACAGACTCACACAGAGACCCACAGACTCACACAGAGACCCACAGACTCACACAGACACCCACAGACTCACACAGAGACCCACAGACTCACACAGAGACCCACAGACTCACCCACAGACTCACACAGAGTGACATCTCGTGCTGTTTGTGTCGAGTTTGTTGTCCTTCCCCCGCACCTCCGATTCGCACGGCTCGCTACGTACGGTGCAAAAGAAATTCAAGGTACATGCGGGGGGGGGGGGCTGCCACCACCGTGACGTCCAAGCGTGCGGCCCGCCCCCCTAAGCGCGGGGCCCGGGGCGGTCTCCCCCGACTCGTTTCAGTTGCAAGGTGATGATGATGATGATTTTGTATGTCGATGTTGATACGTCTGATGATTAATATTTTTGGATGACGATTTGGATGATGATGATTTTAATGATGATGAGGATGGGTCTGTCTCGAGACCTCCTGCACCTAGCCTGGCACAGCAGTCAACCCACGGCACCTGCTGGGTCTGTCCCGTGACCTCCTGCACCTAGCCTGGCACAGCAGTCAACCCACGGCACCTGCTGGGTCTGCCCCGTGACCTCCTGCACCTAGCCTGGCACAGCAATCAACCCGTGGCACCTGCTGGGTCTGTCCCGTGACCTCATGCACCTAGCCTGGCACAGCAGTCAACCCATGGCACCTGCTGGGTCTGTCCCGTGACCTCATGCACCTAGCCTGGCACAGCAGTCAACCCACGGCACCTGCTGGGTCTGTCCCGTGACCTCCTGCACCTAGCCTGGCACAGCAGTCAACCTATGGCACCTGCTGGGTCTGTCCCGTGATCTCCTCCTGCACCTAGCCTGGCACAGCAGTCAACCCACGGCACCTGCTGGATCTGTCCCGTGACCTCCTGCACCTAGCCTGGCACAGCAGTCAACCTATGGCACCTGCTGGGTCTGTCCCGTGATCTCCTCCTGCACCTAGCCTGGCACAGCAGTCAACCCACGGCACCTGCTGGATCTGTCCCGTGACCTCCTGCACCTAGCCTGGCACAGCAGTCAACCTATGGCACCTGCTGGGTCTGTCCCGTGATCTCCTCCTGCACCTAGCCTGGCACAGCACCTGCTGGGTCTGCCGCATCACCGATTAGGAGTTGTGAGGGTGGAGTGTCCGATGGTACAAAATACCCAGGCACGCTCCAGTCTCAGCAGCAGCGTCTCCAACTCCTCTTCTGAATGAGCAGCTATTACCAAATCATCGGCATACAAAACGTGGTTGACCAATAGGGAGCCATCCCTTGACCGCACCTGGGCATCGATCAGCCTCCCATTGTATCTGTACCAGATGGAAAATCCTCCGGTACAGCCAATAAAGGCTTCAAGGACTACGTGGTCGAAAAAGATGTTAAATAATGTGGGAGGCAGAGGACATCCCTGTCGCACCCCAAGGTGTACAGGGAAAGGCTCTGACTCCCGGCCACGTAGTTTTAACCGGGCCCGCTCACCATCATGAAGGTCCTTAATGATCGTGAGAAGAGGGTCAGGGACTCCGAAAGCACGAAGAACAACCCAGAGCCCAGGCCTACTGATGGTATCATAGGCCTCGACCAGGTCAATAAAGCAGAGATGTAGGTCTTGTTGGAATTCCCTACACCTCTGCTTTAGCAGACCGACATAAAATATGGCGTCTGTGCAGGACCACCCCTTCCTGAAACCCCATTGGGGTTCCACAAGCCTCTCCTCAGCGTGTCTAGCAAGGCGGTGTTGAATAATCCTTGTCAGGACATTTCCCGGCACACCACATACCCCGTGTAGCCTTAACAGACTGCTGGGGCAAGTGCTGTTAGCGAGCACCTATGAAGGCCAGAACGGCACACGAGGGGGTGGGTGGCCAGCACCACGCCCGACCGCCTTTGTCTCCCCAGTGGCGATGTTTACACACCGCACCAGGTACTCATTTGAGGCTGAGTCGACCTAGGGGAGGCCCAGGACCGGTTCAGATAATCGTCACTGGTGTTAGCCGTGAGCGGGAATCGAACCCGGGTCGCCGGGTTCATAGCGCAGCGCGCTAACTGCTGCACCACCGCTCCCACCAACCCCCCGCACACCTCCACCCCCACACACACACCCCCACACACACACCCCCACACACACACCCCCCCACACACACACCCCCACACACATACCCCCACACACACACCCCCCCACACACACCCCCACACACACACCCCCCACACACACACCCCCCCACACACACCCCACACACACACCCCCCACACACACCCCCACACACATACCCCCCCACACACACACCCCCACACACACCCCCCCACACACCCCCACATACACCCCCCCCCCACCACACACACACCCCCAACCCTCCACGTTGCTATGAGTGTTGTAGTGTCGACGAGGGTGTCCGGGCAGTTGTTTGAGACTCACTGCGTTGCTACGTCTAACAAACACACACGCGCACACGCAGACGCACACGCAGACACACGCAGACACACACACATAGACACACACACGCAGACACACACACACGCAGACACACACACATAGACACACACACACAGACACACACACGCAGACACACACACACGCAGACACACACACATAGACACACACACACAGACACACACACGCAGACACACACACGCAGACACACACACATAGACACACACACATAGAGACACACACACGCAGACACACACACACGCAGACACACACACACAGACACACACGCACACACAAACACACAGACACACACACATAGAGACCCATCGACCGTCGACTATCTCACAGCTTCTGGAGGACGACGTCTCTCCCCGCTCGCCTGCCCCGCTGCTCCCCACGAAGTTTCGTGGGAAGATATTCCACACGGGACAGGTAATTGCAGAGGGCACACACACACACACACATATATATACACACACACATATATATACACACACACATATATATACATACATACACACATACACACACACACATACACACATATACACACACATACACATATACACACATATACACACACACATATATATACATACACACATATATACACACACATATACACACATACACATATATACACACACACATATACACACACGCATATGCACACACACACATACACACACACATATACACATATATACACACATACACACACATACACACACACATATATACACACACACATATACATACACACACATACACACATACACACACATACACACATACATACACAGGATGATGAGTGGCGACTCATCAGCCTCATCATCATCCTCATCATCAGCACCATCAGCATCATCGTGTGGAAATGTGCAGTAGTAGTCAAAGACTCTAAACGCCGTGGGTGATGTCGATTCTGAATGTAGAGGAGGATCCAGGGAGAGAGAGACAGAGAGAGTATGTGGATCTCTGTGTGAGTGTGTGGGTCTCTGTGTAAGTCTGTGGGTCTCTGTGTGGGTCTGTGGGTCTCTGTGTGAGTCTGTGGGTCTCTGTGTGAGTCTGTGGGAGGACGTGGAGCTGAGTGGACTTGCCGATGACTTGTACCAGCGGTGTCAAGATCGGCCTCTGTGGAGGAGGCTCATGAAGGACGCTACTGGGCAGTTTGCAGCAGTCGCCCTCCAACAACAACAGAGGGCGGAGGAGCGACGCTCACAACAACGAGCGGAGTGCCGGGTGGATACAATTGCGCGAGTTGGCACAGCTGGTGGTGCATCTGCCGGTCATCTCAGTCACCTGCTGGGTCTGTCCCGTGACCTCCTGCACCTAGCCTGGCACAGTAGGGGTCACAGGTGGTGGTGCATCTGCCGGTCATCTCAGTCAATCAACCCACGGCACCTGCTGGGTCTGTCCCGTGACCTCCTGTCACGTGGCCTCAAAGTGCACCTAGCCTGGCACGGGCGCCCTGGTGACGTCATCGCCACTTAGTGGCGAATATTGACAGGCTGCGTGTCTCTGTGTGTGCAGGGCTCTGTGTCTCTGTGTGTGCAGGGCTGTGTGGCTCAGTGGAGACATCTGTGTCTCTGTGTGTGCAGGGCTCTGTGTGTCTCTGTGTGTGCAGGGCTGCGTGTCTCTGTGTGTGCAGGGCTGTGTGGCTCAGTGGAGACATCTGTGTCTCTGTGTGTGCAGGGCTCTGTGTCTCTGTGTGTCTCTGTGTGTGCAGGGCTGCGTGTCTCTGTGTGTGCAGGGCTCTGTGGCTCAGTGGATACATCTGTGTCTCTGTGTGTGCAGGGCTCTGTGTCTCTGTGTGTCTCTGTGTGTGCAGGGTTGCGTGTCTCTGTGTGTGCAGGGCTCTGTGGCTCAGTGGATACATCTGTGTCTCTGTGTGTGCAGGGCTCTGTGTCTCTGTGTGTCTCTGTGTGTGTAGGGCTGCGTGTCTCTGTGTGTGCAGGGCTCTGTAGCTCAGTAGATACATCTGTGTCTCTGTGTGTGCAGGGCTCTGTGTCTCTGTGTGTCTCTGTGTGTGCAGGGCTGCGTGTCTCTGTGTGTGCAGGGCTCTGTGGCTCAGTGGATACATCTGTGTCTCTGTGTGTGCAGGGCTCTGTGTCTCTGTGTGTCTCTGTGTGTGCAGGGCTGCGTGTCTCTGTGTGTGCAGGGCTCTGTGGCTCAGTGGATACATCTGTGTCTCTGTGTGTGCAGGGCTGCGTGTCTCTGTGTGCACGCATGGCGGTGCTGTGTCCAGGCTGGGCCCTGGTGAGTCTCGGCACGCTGAGTGTCGTCTCGGGAGTCGTCGCTTTCTTCCCGGGACTCAGCCTGCAGACGCAGCAGTTCGTGGCGTGGAGCAGCCGCGTCGCCTGCCCCGTGTGGGCCGGACTCATGGTGAGGGCTCTCACTCACCACGCTCACCACACTCACCATGCAAAACTCACCTAAAACTCACCACACTCACCACGCTCACCATGCCACGCTCACCATGCAAAACTCACCAAAAACTCACCACGCTCACCTAAAACTCACCACGCTCACCATGCCACACTCACCATGCAAGACTCACCACTCGCCATGCACGACTCACCACACTCACCATGCCACACTCACCATGCAAAACTCACCACGCTCACCATGCAAAACTCACCACACAAAACTCACCACACTCACCATGGTGCCGATGACGGTGGTGTTGGTGGGTAGTGATGGTCGACGGTGATGATTTTGTTGGCGGTGGTGGGAAACAAGGGGGGTGGTGATGGTGCTGATGATGGTGATGATGGTGGTGATGTTGGTGATGTGGGTGCTGATAATGGTGGTGATGGTGCTGATAATGGTGATGATGGTGGTGATGTTGATGGTAGTGATGTGGGTGCTGATGGTGGTGATGATGATGGTGGTGATGTTGATGGTAGTGATGATGGTAGTGATGGTGGTTATGATGGTGGTGATGTTGATGGTAGTGATGATGGTAGTGATGGTGGTGATGATGGTGGTGATGTTGATGGTAGTGATGTGGGTGCTGATGGTGGTGATGGTGTTGGTGATGATGATGGTGGTGATGATGGTAGTGATGATGATGGTGGTTATGATGGTGATGATGATGGTGGTGATGGTGCTGATGGTGGTGGTGATGGTGGTGATGGTGGTGATGATGTTGTCTGCAGGCTGTGTGCGCTGGCGCTGTGACTGTGAGATCCGGACTCAGGAAGCGGACTCGCTCACTGGTGAAACACCATCATCATCACCACCATCATCATCATCACCATCATCATCACCATCATCATCACCACCACCATCATCATCACCATCATCACCATCATCATCATCACCATTATCATCACCACCACCATCATCATCACCATCATCATCATCATCATCACCATCATCACCATCATCATCATCATCATCACCATCATCATCATCACCATCATCATCATCACCATCATCATCACCATCATCATCATCACCATCATCATCACCACCACCATCATCATCACCATCATCATCATCACCATCATCATCACCATCATCATCATCACCATTATCATCACCACCACCATCATCATCACCATCATCATCACCATCATCATCATCACCATCATCATCATCACCATCATCATCACCATCATCATCACCATCATCATCATCACCATCATCATCACCACCACCATCATCATCACCATCATCATCATCACCATCATCATCACCATTATCATCACCACCACCATCATCATCACCATCATCATCATCACCATCATCATCATCATCACCATCATCATCATCACCATCATCATCATCATCACCATCATCATCATCACCATCATCATCACCATCATCATCATCACCATCATCATCACCACCACCATCATCATCACCATCATCATCACCATCATCATCACCATCATCATCACCATCATCATCACCACCACCATCACCACTATCATCACCATCATCACCACCATCATCACCACCACCATCACCACCATCACCACCACCATCACCACCACCATCATCATCACCACCATCATCATCATCACCATCATCACCATCATCATCATCATCACCACCACCATCACCACTATCATCACCATCATCACCACCATCATCACCACCACCATCACCACCACCATCACCACCATCACCACCACCATCACCACCACCATCATCATCATCACCACCATCATCATCATCACCATCATCACCATCATCATCATCACCACCACCATCACCACTATCATCACCATCATCACCACCATCACCACCACCATCATCACCATCATCACCATCATCATCACCACCACCATCATCACCATCACTATCATCATCATCATCATCACCACCATCAGCATCATCATCACCATCACCATCATCGAGAGCATTCTTACATACTGCATCTGTGTATGGTACACCAGCTGCACAGTGGCTCAGAGGAGAGCGCTCCAGAGGGTCATCAACACAGCCCAAAAGATCGCCGGCTGCCATCTCCCCACACTGGAAGAACTACACAGTTCACGTTGCATCAAAAAAGCACAGCACATTATAGAGGACTCTTCCCACCCTGGACACTCACTGTTTGAGCTGTTGCCATCAGGCAGACGATTCAGATCAGTCAAAACAAGGACAAACAGATTCAAACAGAGCTTTTATCCTACAGCGATCACCACACTCAATAATGCTAATTAATTATTAAGTAATAGCGTTTACAATTGACTGTGAAATAGAGATGTGCAATGACAAAATGTAACCTTATGTGGGTATGTGGGTATACTTGGGCTGTTTTTATATATAGTATAAATTGATTATCTTTCATTTAATTTTATTTTATTTTCTTGTTTTATTTAATTTAAATTTATGAATGAGGCCCTGACTGGTGAGCATTTTAAATTTCGTTGTACTGGTGACAATGACAATAAACGATCTATCTATCTATCATCATCACCACCATCACTATCATCATCACCACCACCATCACTATCATCATCACCACCATCATCACCACCATCACCATCACCACCACAATCATCACCATCACCACCACACATCACCATCACACCACAATCATCACCATCACCACCACAATCATCACCATCAACACAATCATCACCACCACCATCACCACCATCATCACCACCACCACCACCACCATCATCACCACCATCACCACCACCATCATCACCATCATCACCACCACCACCACCATCATCACCACCACCATCACCACCATCATCACGACCACAATCATCATCATCACCATCATCACCACCACAATCATCATCATCATCACCACCACCACCACCACCATCACCACCATCACCACCACCATCATCATCACCACCACCACCACCATCATCACCACCATCACCACCACCATCATCACCACCATCACCACCACAATCATCATCACCATCACCACCACCATCATCATCATCACCACCACCATCACGACCACAATCATCACCATCATCATTGTCCCCCGGTGTCTCACCCCCCCCATTGTCTCCCATTGCCTCACCCCCCCCATTGTCTCACCCTCTCATCGTCCCCCATTGCCTCACCTCCCCCCGCAGGCCGAGGCTTCGTGTGCTCTCTGCGTGCTGAGCGCGGCCTGCAGTGTCCCCCACCTGTCCCTGGCGCTCTGCTCGCTGCTCATGGGCCCCCTGTGCCGCTACTCGCACGCCGGCGTGGCCGGCACCGCCTACCTGGGCCAGGCCGTGCGCTGGCCATACCCCTACGCCCTGTGGCAGGTGACGGCGCGCGCAGAGATACACACACCGCTCGCTCCACGTGAGAACACCAACACCACCACTCACATCATCACCACTCTCACCACCACTCACATCATCACCACCACCACCCACCACTCTCACCACCACTCTCACCACCACTCTCACCACCACTCTCACCACCACTCTCACCACCACTCTCACCACCACTCTCACCACCACTCACATCATCACCACTCTCACCACCACTCACATCATCACCACCACCACCACTCTCACCACCACTCTCACCACCACTCACATCATCACCACCACCACCACTCTCACCACCACTCACCTCATCACCACCACTACACCACCACTCACCACGACACTCACCGTGAGAACACCACCACTCACCACCACACTCACCACCACTCTCACCACCACTCACCACCACACTCACACCACTCACCACCACTCTCACCACCACTCACCACGACACTCACCGTGAGAACACCACCACTCACCACCACTCTCACCACCACTCACCACCACTCTCACCACCACTCACCACCACTCACCACCACTCTCACCACCACTCACCACCACACTCACCACCACTCTCACCACCACTCACCACCACACTCACCACCACACTCACCACCACTCTCACCACCACTCACCACCACTCTCACCACCACTCACCACCACTCACACCACACTCACCACCACTCACCACCACTCACCACGACACTCACCGTGAGAACACCACCACTCTCACCACCACTCACCACCACTCTCCACCACTCACCACCACTCACCACCACTCACCACCACTCTCACCACCACTCACACCCACTCCCACCACTCTCACCACCACTCACCACCACACTCACCACCACTCTCACCACCACTCACCACCACACTCACCACCACACTCACCACCACTCACCACCACACTCACCACCACTCACCACCACACTCACCATGAGAACACCACTCACCACGACTCTCACCACCACTCACCGTGAGAACACCACCACTCACCACCACCACTCTCACCACCACACTCACCACCACTCACCACCACACTCACCACCACTCACCACCACACTCACCACCACCACCACCACTCACCACCACTCTCACCACCACTCACCACCACTCTCACCACCACTCACCACCACTCTCACCACCACTCTCACCACCACTCTCACCACCACTCTCACCACCACTCTCACCACCACACTCACCACCACACTCACCACCACTCTCACCACCACTCACCACCACTCTCACCACCACTCACCACCACCACTCACCACCACTCTCACCACCACTCTCACCACCACTCTCACCACCACTCTCACCACCACTCTCACCACCACTCACCACCACTCACCACCACACTCACCACCACTCACCACCACTCTCACCACCACTCTCACCACCACACTCACCACCACTCTCACCACCACTCACCACGACACTCACCGTGAGAACACCACCACTCTCACCACGACGCCACTCACCACGACTCTCACCACGACATCATTCGGCGTGGCACCACTCACCACCACCACTCACCACAACACTCACGACTCACCACGCCACTCGCAGGGTCACTCACAATGCTCCCCCCCCCACCCCCCCACTCGCCACAACGCCACTCGCCACTCAGCCGGTCGGCACTCGCTATACCGGTGAAGGACTCTCACGACGCAAGCACGTCACGTCACCCCCTTGTCCACCCCCGTGTTCCCCCCACGCGTCCAACCCATGTCCACCCCGTGTCCCTCCACCGTGTCACCCCCCCCCGTGCCCCCCCCCCCCCAGGAGACGAGGACGTACTGCGTGGAGCCGCTGGGTGCCGAGTGGCAGCACCTGGCGCTGCAGGTTCTGGACGCGACGTTGTCCACCTCCGAGTTTGCGCTCGCACTCGCAGCCTGCGTGGGGCAGGGACGACGCCTGTTCCGCTCGCGGGTAACAACAACCAGCCAACAGCCCCCAGCCAACAGCCCCCAGCCAACAGCTCCCAGCCAACAGCCCCCAGCCAACAGCCCCCAGCCAACAGCCCCCAGCCCTGTCTGTGTGGAGCGTCTGTCTATAGCGTCTGTCTGTGTCTGTCTGGAGGGTCTGTCTGTCTGTCTGTAGCGTCTGTCTGGAGCGTCTGTCTGGAGCGTCTGTCTGGAGCGTCTGTCTATCTGTCAGTCTTCCTGCTCCGGTCTCATCACCACCGCCACCACCATCACCACCATCATCACCATCACCACCATCACCACCACCATCACCACCATCACCACCACTACCATCACCATCACCACCGCCATCATCACCATCACCACCATCATCACCATCACCACCACTACCATCACCATCACCACCACCATCACCACCATCACCACCACCACCATCACCACACTACCATCATCATCACCACCACCATCACCACCGCCATCATCACCATCACCATCATCACCATCACCACCACCATCACCACCAACACCATCACCATCATCACCACCACCATCACCACCACCACGCTGCCAAACGAACGCCCTCTGTGTCTCCATCTTTTGTCTTCCAGAACAAGGTGCGCAACCACGTGTGGTGAGTAACCACGCGTGGTGAGCGAACAGCGTGGTGAGCGTGGCACCACCACGAGGAGGAGGAGGGGGGGGTGGAGACGCTGGCGCGAGACCCTCCGGACCAACGCTTCAAGTGCTCGTCTCCTGCACGCGTCACCGCTGCTACCCCCCCCAACTCCCCCGTCACACACAGAGACACAGGACACACACACACAGGTACACACACAGACACACACACAGGTACACACACAGACACACACACACATAGGTACACACACAGACACACACACGCACGTACACACACACGCACAGCTACACACAACAGGTACACACACATACACACGCAGGTACACACACACACGCACTCAGACACAGGCACACACACACGTACACATACACAAACAGCTACACACACAGGTACACACACACGCACAGACACACACACACAGACACACACACACAGGCACACACACAGGTACACACACACACACACGCAGGTACACACACACACGCACTCAGATACAGGCACAACACACACACGCACTCAGATACAGGCACACCCACGTACACATACACAAACAGCTACACACACAGGTTACACACACACGCACAGACACACACACAGGTACACACACACACGCACAGACACACACACACAGACACACACACACATGCACACACACAGGTACACACACACGCATGCACGCGCACAGACACACGCACACACGTCCACGCAGACACCACACACACGCGTGTATAGTCATAGCCGTCAACCCCTTGTCAGCGCCCGACCATATCACCAATTCAGACCGTGTTGGTCACCCCGTGCCAGTTATACATCTCAAAGTTCATCCTACAAAGTCACTTTACACTACACTATACACTAACACTATACACTACACTATACACTACACTATAGCACTAGCACACTTTACACTACTATACACTACACTAACCTACTATACACTACACTATACACTACACTACTATACACTACACTATACACTACAACTATACACTACACTACTATACACTACACTACACACTACTATACACTACACTATACACTACTATACACTACACTACACACTACTATACACTACAATACACTATTACACACTATACACTACACGACTATACACTACACTTCTATACCATACCTGTCAACCCCTTATCAGTGGCCCTACCTTAATTACAGACCAACTCAGACCTTATTGGTCCCATCACAAGAGAAACACAAACAGCCAAAAAATAAAACCGTGTGCCCAAATTGAAACGGCTGTACGCCGAACAGACCTGTACACTCAAGTTCCCTGTACAAGAATCCGGGGTAAACCGTGATGGGTTGATATCTATGATACACATACAGTACATACACATATATACCCTACTCGTGTGGCTGTGGGCCTCCCCTAGGTCCACTCAGCCTCCTCAGAGTGAGCAGCAATCATCAGATCATCAGCATACATAACATGGTTCGTCATTAACCCGCACCCGGGCACTGATCAGCCCTCCCATTGTATCTGCTGTACCGATAGAAATTCCTCTGGTACAGCCACGCCAGCGACGATGATTTGAACTGGTCCTGGCCCCCCCCCTAGGTCGGCTCGGCCTGTAACGAGTACCTGGGGCGGTGTGTAGTGAGCATCGCCACTGGGGAGACAAAGGCGGCCGGGCGTGGTGCTGGCCACCCACCCCTCGTGTGCCGTGCCGGCTTTCATAATGTTTCTGTTAAACTTCTTTGATTCTTTCGGTAAAGTCGCGTAGAAAATAATATAAATTAACTAATAGAATAGGACGTTTCGATTGCAACACAAGCAATGGTCATCAGGTGTGACTGAATGAGAAAACAAAGCTAGTGGACTTAGAACTACAATGCAAGACAACACAGAGAGTCGGCTAACACAGCAGTCAACACCCAACGTGGTTGATTACGTTCTTACAAAGAATGCTACATTTGAGAGAGAGACAAAACACAGAGACACGTAGAAAGACACACAAGCAGAGAGAGACACACAGAGAGAGACAACACAGAGACACAGAGAGAGAGACACACACAGACACACAGAGAGAAACAACACAGAGACACACAACCAGAGAGAGACACACACACAGAGACACACAGAGAGACACAGAGAGATACACACCAAGCAGAGAGAGACACACACAGAGAGACACAGAGAGGGACACACAACATAGACACACAACATAGACACACAAGTCCCATAGAGACACAGACTCCCAGACTCCCAGAGACACAGACTCCCAGGGACAGAGGCACATAGAGACACAGAGATCAGCACGGTTGGGTACGTACGGTGCAAAAGGAAGTTCAACACACGTACGCAGGGGACATGGTCTCGCCACGATATATAAGTGTTTGTATTAAACGACTGCGGGTGCAAACGATCACAGCCTCTCAGCAACACACAAACCGCAGCCTCTGCCGCCTGCCAACCGCGCTACTCAACTCCATGGCCCAGTTTAGCAACGGAGGCTTTCGACCGCCGATATTCAAGCCGGCGAAACGCCGCAGCGAACATTGCGGGTTTACTCTCCCGACACACAACCCGGCGTTTACTCCACGCGACTTGGCAACTGCAGCCGATCGATCGCCACTAGGGTTGGCGGTGATGTCGCGGGCGCCCGTGCCAGGCTTGGTGCACCACGAGGCCGGAACACTTCGAGTGTGTGGCTCTCGCAAGCTGGCAAGACCGGGAGCAACAGGAGAGCTTCACCATTCTTGCCCGATGAAGCTGATTGTAATTATCAGCGAAACGTCGCACTACTCACATTTTAAAATGCTGTTGATTCTCTCTTCAGCACACCACCGGTGGGGCTAAAGAAGTGAATTAATTTGTCCTTTGAAAAAAACGTGACACATTGTTTACTGTTTGGCCGTGTCGGGTGGTGGAGGGTTACGACACATTTATAAACAACGCGATCTCAACCCAACAACGTTGATTATGAATAATATTGGTCGTGAAAGCATGCTACGTGTTAAATTGGCAAGAGGTGGTCACGGGGCAGACCCTCCCTCCCTCCACCCAATTGTGGCCCGTCACACGATGGGCACGCTACCGTAAACAACAACAAAAAAACAACCGCAAACCACAACAACAACGCACCAAATCACAGCACGCACGGCGTCAACGGCGGCCGTGGCAGAGAAACAAAACCCAACAACAACCCTAACCCTCCTCTTGGTTCTTTCGGTAAAGTCACGTAGAAGGGAGATAATAAAATAATAAAAATAAAACATCATAAAATAATTCTGACGACGTTTCGGCCACAACGCAAGCGGCCGTCCTCAGGTGAAGAACAGGTCTGTCGGGAAGACAGCGTCCCAATGCTGCTTGCGTTGTGGCCGAAACGTCGTGAGAATTATTTTATGTTTTATTTTTATTATTTTATTATTTCCCTTCTACGTGACTTTACCGAAAGAACCAAGAAGATGAATCCCTGCAGTCACGAAAGAAGCTGAACATCGAAATTTGCACGTTACAAGTTACGCTACCTTACACACCCACCACGACGGCTTTCGGCTGTTACCGTGTTGTCATGCGTTGCACAACGCCGGAATAAAATTGTATCTCGAGCGAACCGGGTCCTGATCCTGGTTGACTCGCGCGCCGCGGACTGCGCTAGCGCCACACCGCAGCTTTGCGACTTCGCCCGGCTTGACGGACGCCGCCTCCGGCTGACCTGGATCGACGCGGCACTGCGGCGGAGGGGCGAGTGGCGGGATGAGCGGTGGGGCCGTGCGGAGGCTGCGCACGCGAACAGGGGAAACGCGCAGATGGTGCGACAAAGCCTCTCGCGAATGCAGAAACCTCTTCTTGGTTCTTTCGGTAAAGTCACGTAGAATGGGAATAATAAAGTAATAACAATAAAACGTAATAAAATAATTGTCACGACGTTTTCGGCCACAACGCAAGCAGCCGTCCTCAGGTGGAGAACAGGTCTGTCGAGAAGACAGAGTCTAAATGACACACCCCAGGCTTGGAGCGTCTATTTAAGCTGCTGGGTTGGAGGGGGGAAGAGCGCCTTGACAAAATAATTTGCATATCAAGAGGAATTTAGCATATTTATGGAAATGCAGATATGCGATTAGTACTACTTGTGAAATGCGTAGGTTTGGCGGGGGGTTTAAAGTCATATTATGCCCGTGCATTATGCAGGATTAGAAGATGAATCCGTGCAGTCACGAAAGCTTTAAATCGAAATGCAGAAACCTCGTACCGGTGGGGAAAGAAAATGGAATAATGAAATGTACCGTACTAGTAATGGAAGAACTCCACGACTCCAGGAAGTGGCCCCGAGGCTTGCCACAACGTA